ACTTTACCGGGAATTTAGAGTACACGCCAAACTAGAGGTCCTGCTTTAAAGTCAGTGAGCCATATCTTCAGAATCCATTTTTAACCCATCAGATAAAGATTTTTATGTTTTTGCCAATATGTACTTATTAGTTGGGCTTTGTTGAAGTACAACAGTTTTTTAACGGATTTGAATTAAAGGTCAAAATATGACTTAAAATATTACAAAAAACCTCTTTGAAGTTAGTTTTACGTGGGTATAAGCGGTGAATACATTTGCATGTACAAAATAAGCACGCAAATTTAAACAAAATATTTGATATATAAAAATATGTAAAATATATATTTAACATTTTTTATATGAAAATAGATTATATCTTCCAGACACTAGGGGTCAAGAGAGAGGAGGAAGACCAACCACAACAATATCTCGTCCGAGCCGCATTCTCCTCATTTTCTCGTCCAGGCCACCTCGAAATCCTCGTCCTTCCAATATTTTTTTTTTTAATGTCCAACCCTTGCAAATAAAAATATTTTTGGAAAATATGGCGACTTCAGCGCAAAAGTAAAATACGAAATTTTCCCAAACAATTTTTAAATTTGTGAAATAATGAATATACTCTATAAACGATGTTCTACAAACAAGCATCTCTATCAATTGAAAGGACGAGAATTTAGAGGAGGCTCGGACGAGAAATTGTTGTGGTTCGCCATCCTCCCCTCGTCAGGCAGAGCCCAGGCAGGACCGGAAATGCCATGAACTGACCATATACATTATAGATAGACATAACATAGCTTTAAAGGGACTGTACGCGTAATATCAAGTGACCCTTCTCTTGCAAAGATGACAATCCCTGATTTATAATGATATCCCTAAAAGCTTTGTCTGATCAGGCATTAATTATATATCATTGTTTATCATTTCGAAAACTGATTATTTTTAATTATGGTTTCACTACAAAAGTTACTTGTGCATTTCGGCTGAAGGAGACCATATTGGAAATACTAGATTTTAAAATTACAAAAACAGTCCCTTTAAGACTTAAACAAATTGATGATTGATTGATGCACGAACAGTTCTAAATAAGGGCTGACACATGTTGGACAAAAAATATAAAAATCAAATAAAAACTTTTTTATATCCGTTAGCCATTGATGACTAAAATTCCGAGGCAGTGGGCTTTTTCGAAAAGGAATTGAGTCTTTGCCACAAATTCAAATTTTCTAATCTGTATATCTCTGCAGCCTGATAGTGTAAATTTCAAATTTAAGAATTCTCGATCCGCCGGAGTTTAGAGTTTTAAATTTGTCGAAGGTCTACGACTTTGAGATGCAAAGATATAAGGATTAGAAAATCAGAGTTTTTGACAACAACTCGGCTCCTTTCTAAAGCTTTCGCTTACATTAAAGTACATGTACATTGTACATGTACATGTACATGTAAAGTACATGTACATTGTACATGTAAAGTACATAGCTAGACCCTTAATTTTTTTCGGTTTTTTTATATTCGAATAGAATTCAGTTTCTTAACTGGACTCAAACTAATCCTAAAAATTATTTCTAACTCCCAAATAGGGTTTTCAATCGGAATTCCGTTGCGTGGAATTGCGGAATTGCGGAATTGCACGCAACTGTGCGGAATTGCGCGGAACTGTCTTTGATTTACGCGCAATTGTGCGGAATTGCACGGAATTGTGTGGAGTTTCCAGGGCTCGCAATTGCGCGCAAGTAAAATCCAATTGTGTTGGAAACCCTACTACTCCAAAAATCTAAGACAGAGTAAGTTTTAATCATTTACAATTTTTACGAAATTAGGGACGGGAAGGGGTGCCAAATTCTATATTAGAACATCAATGCTATAATTATTTGCTTATTTAATAGGAAATTAGCATCGTTAAATAAAAAGTTGATGAGTTCACCCTATAGTAACCTGCAAAAAAACATTTTATTTCCACCCTGTCTATTGCATAACAGTCCACAAATATTAAAAAACTAGGCTTCCATCCTCTATTTCAAATTTTAATTGTGGCTTTATCTGTGAGCATCTTCTCTTTGCACAGTATAAAACAAAAACAAAAAAGTTTGCGGATTTCATAATATATTTTCGCACATTTTCAAAATTTTACAAGAGTAAAGTTTTGATCATTTCCCTGGGGTCCCACACAAAATTTGGGCCCGATCGGTTCAGCCGTTTTGACGTTTATTAGATACAAACGGACAGATACTGACAGATACCCAAGCCAAATTTATATAAAGTTATAACAATTCAACATTTTTATGAGAAAAAAGTAGGAAAAAAAATAACTATTTATTTACTACCGGCGAGGATTTACCAGGGAGAACTGCCAACTTTACCGGGAATTTACTTTTTCACGAGGAAAAGTCAATTCCTGGTGAATTTTACGTGACCGGCATACCATTGGAAGAAGTTCTGATCACGTGATACAGTCGTATATCTCACATATATACGTTTTAGTATAATTTTGACACAGTTTTATTTCTCGAGACAGGAACATCAGATAAATATCTTATTAGTATATCGTTCAACTCCTGAGATTCTCAGGTTTCAGCCTATACCCCATTTCATTTTCCCTTTACAGTCCCTTTAATAAATCATTAAACTTTGTGTTGTTGATAATATTAATATGTCTAAATACTAATAAACCTATATTTTTGATAAAACTTTGAAATTTAGCTTTCTTCATCTTGTAAATGCATGAGTTTTTCTAATGAAAATGTGCAAACCATCACTTACTCTCCCCTGCATTGGGCGAACACAAATATATTTAAACTGTTCTCTGGGGGAAAAAGTTAAAGAGTAGGGATGAACAAGGTTAATAATGTTGATCAGAATGGGATAAAAACGTTTTAAAGTTTTTGTTCCTTACACAAAGAGGTTTTTACGATTAAATCTGCAGGTAACATTTTTTAAAATCAATTTTAACATATAAATGTATATTTGTATTACATCTTCTACAGCAAAGTGACGTCACACTGAAAGATTAAATATAGCGACACTTTAAAACTTGTGACGTTCTCAAAAGTTGATTCATATTTTCATAACTGTTTGGTTCACTGAAACATATCAAGTAAAAGTGCGACTTTGTGACATTGTAGCTCCTCTTTTCTTTAGTTTAACGTGGCAACTTTTAAATTAACCTTAATTTGCCGTGACATATATTCCAGTAAAGCACAGTGCG